GTTGCCAGCCAGTTTGCTTCAAATCTCTACTCCCAGGTTAACTTTTGACTTCCGTCCCAATCCAGCATGTGCTCCAGCTCCCTTTCTCATCTGGTTTCACTTTGCCCCAAGCATGAGTATAGCCCTGCTCCTTTGCTCTGTAATGCACCATTTGCTGCTATTGAGAGATGCTGACCTGTGAAGAAGAGGGAACAGAATTCAGCTCTCAGTTCCTTTGGCCTGTCTCTTACTGGTGTGGGCCCATCTTCCTTGGACCTACTCTCACATCTTCTCACAGAGCTCCCTCATATCCTCTTAGCTCAGTGCTAAGGCACCAACACTTCAGTCCCTTACTCCAGCCCTCTTCTTTCTTAGGTAGAACAGTCTACTTTTGTTTGACCTCTATCACTGAGATAATCCTATGCACTCATGAACTTGTCTTAATAGCAACACTTTTTTTTTTTTCCTGAGATAGATTCTGTTGTTACTCAGTGTATGGAAGTGACTATAATTTTCTTTTTTAAAAAATCTAATAATTACTATATTATTTTAGTACACTCATGACAAATGTATGGGCCAGCTTTTTTTTTTTCTAAGAGTCTTTTGCCTTAGGGCACATGCACTCTGGGGAGAAGGGGGAGAAAGAGACAGAGATAGTGAGAGACAAAGTGAGAAATCGCCTGCCAGGGGAGATGGCTACACTCCTGTTCCTTCTCCTGCATTCTTCTCTCAGGTTCTTGGGCATGCATGCACATGCACATGAACCTCGCATGAGTTTCAAGTCATCAGATCCAGGTCAAACCACGACTGACCATGTGGGAGTCCAGCAACGTAACCATTACACCATCTGCTGACCCATGGGTCAACTTTTAAAAGATAGGTTAAGCTTAGTTTCCAACTTTGGAAATAAATTTAAGCATAAGACATTTCCAATTGGATTTTTTAAAATATGAGCATAATGACAATATATATGAATGAGCCACAGTATTTCTAGACATTTTTGGCATTTCATGATAGAGCTTCAAATCGTCTGTATGACTAGTCTATAGATAGAAAACGAGTTTGAGAAACCGTCTTAGGTTGAGGTGCACCTCTGTGTATGAACCACTGCCCTAGCCTAACTTCTCAGGGCAAAGTACAATGCTTGAAACCCCACTCCCCATCTATTTGTGATTTTAAAACTTGAATGTTGCTCTAAAAATTAGAATGCCCACACATAAATGTTTCACAATATGCTTTTTTTTTTTTAAATCAAGAGTTTGGTGATTCCATTCTAAATGGAATTTGCCTCATAATTAACTAAAAGTGAAGTTTCTTCTAAGTATAGTTTCTCTGTTTCAGGCTAATATTGTCATTGTAGCTGTTCAGAAATGTTTGGAAAAGTAAATGCTCTTTGTAGGTAGAGTCAGAACAACCAGACTATTCACTAAATTAAATTTCTAAAAGCACTCATTGAGCCAATATCTCATCTAGGTAAACAAAATGATATGTATGGAGAACATCTTGTTTTAATGGGTCCTCTTAGGTATGCCATGCAGATCAGGTTTTTGTGTGCTCATCTCAGTAAGATACTGACCTGCTACCAAATGGGTCAGTTCTTCCTTTGAGGCAATTGCATTACTTATTTGAACATTATATAGACAAGTGTATTTAAAATGTATTAGATTGTAAGATAATGAACTAGGGAGTCAGTTTCTAGATTTCATTATGCAGAGGACCTAGTTTGGCTAAGATGCTATGTGTGTTCAGCCACATTCAAAACACAGCCTGTGTACTCAATTCCCTGTTCGCTGTTTAGTAGGAGCATCCATGTGTAGATCTGGCTCAGCTTATTGAGCTCCTAGTATCAGTCACTGGTGGAGGGTTGCAAAGGTGACTGCTACTTTTCTTCTGCCTTTAAAAAGCCCTTAATCTCACTGAAGATTCAGACACGTAAACATTTTCAACAATATGCTAAGTTTCCTATCAGGGGGATATAGGGAGTTTGGAGGCGAGCTCCTTGTGAGTAGAGTCTCTGCTTTTCATCTTTAGTCCCAGATCTTTGTTAGCCTTTGGCTGACAGAGTCAGTAAGCAAACGTGTTTGAATTAAGTTGAATAATTGTCTGTTACTTCTGCCTTATGATGCCAGAACTACAATTAGCTCTATTCATTCAAGAAAGAGAATTTATTTTAGTCAAAACTGATTACATAATAGATATGAAATCAGAGAACATAGGAAGTTCTGGAGATTTCCAGATGGGTTTAAGAAACAGATACAGAGATTTCAATAAAGAAGGTACACATACACGTGTGTGCACATTTTATGTGCATGGAAATAGCTAGACAAAAGAAATGAAGGGTAACTAGAAAAAGAATGAGAAACTGAAATCAGAATTAAATGATGACATTTTCTGCTCAGCCTATTAGAATAGGCATTGCTTGAGGAAAAAGAAACTTTCTTCCGTGTTCCAAGTATCCATAACGGAACTATCCCAGCTCAGTAACATACATTTAGTAACTAGTAGCCTAAGTTCCTGACTTTGAAGATAAAAGAGGTTGCATTTAGAGATGAAAAAGAAGAGAAATAAGAACAATTGAGTTGAATTATTTTAAAAGGGGGAGTATTCCACACTAACATGATAACGGAGGCACATTTTTCTACAAACACAATAGCCAGGCATTAGTTGGGAGAGTTGCTAATTAAACCTACCTATTTAAAGGAGGTAAGTCCAAAGATCACTGAAGTTTTCCATCCTTCCCTTACTTCAGGAAGAAGGTAAATCACAGTGTGTTATTTTTAGTACAGTGGGAGAAATGTGGTTTATATCATGTTGAAAACAAAAGTAACGCCATATGCTCTGCCCACTGAGAGCCGGTGTGATAATGCATCAGTCAGTGAGTGTGTAATTGCTTTGTTCAGAAATGGCTTCGAGTCACAGCACTGACACCAGCAAATTTTCTTCAAACAGAATTTGGTTCTTTTTTCTCTACCAGATATTTATTTTTTAAATGATGATAACAGAGTCTTTCTTCAAACATTAAAATGCTTCTTTTCTTATAAAATCTTATTTAGAAAGACAATCCACTGTTTCTAAAAATGATTTTATAATAAATACAACTTTTTTTTTTTTAAACTGAACTAAGGTTTTCATTTGTTTTTGGTTCTGTTGTGCTTCAACCTAATTTCACCTTGTCTTAGGACATATCTTGCAGGTCTATTTCCTTCTTCTGTGATACTGATAGAACATCAATTATCTAGGCTATTTATTATTTAATATTTCCTGTACCGAGTAATTTTGGGGTTGAGTTTAACCTGAGAATTTCAGCTTGATCTGTAGATACAAACCAAGGGTATTTTAGCATTCTATAATTATATACAGAACTGTATGGGTATGTACATTTCTATGGAGTCGACTGATTTCATTAGATATGAAATATTGAGGGAGCAGAAAAAAAAGTTCAAGACATTGAAATCTTCACTTTTAATTCTGGAAACACATAGAAAATATAGTTTCTCTCATTTACTGCTTTGGCCAAGCCCAGTTTAATTTTCTAGTACTTCAGCCAAGTCTACTATAATATAAGCCATTCATAGTTCTAAGTGTGTTTATTAATTCAGTTAATCATTGCAGCAATTCTGTGAACAGATTCTATTAGCATCCCTGTTTTATAAGTGATAAAACTGAGGTGCGGTTCATAAAGCTAGAAAAAGAGAAAGCCCAGCTTCACACTCAGTCAAGTTTTGGAGGCCATCCTCTTAGTTAGTATGTGGTGCTGACTGAGTAAGTAACATGCCGGTATCAGGAAATCCATAAATAAGGCCTCATTATGATCATGGATTTCTGAATAGCAGGTTTGCTTTTACAATTTCAAGATGGCAACTAATGAAAAAGTACTAACACATTTATTTATTTATTTAATAAGCATTCACACATCAGCCATGCACTTACTATAGTGCAATGATTGACATAAACTATCTCATTTAATACTTATAGTTGCATTTGAGGTAAGCAAGGTAATGCATATTTTACAAATGAAGAAACTGGAGTTTGGAGAGATTAAATGATAAGCCTTTTCTCATGGAGTGTCAGAAAATCTCAGCCCATGTCACTCTCTTTCACGTGATGCATTGCAGCTTCTAGGCTGGGCTGTTTCAATATGACATTGCTAAAATACCTTCTAAAGTGGGGGAAAATTTTATAGAACTCAACCTAGTTTCTGATAATCTGAGGCAGCATCTTTTAAGTAGTATATAGGCCCAAGAGGCTCCTCCATCATTACTTTGATTAAATCATCATTTATTTACTGTGCTTTTTCTCTCCGTTTCAATTTTTTTATTCTTAGTGCCTCTCCTCTGAATGCCAGACTAATACATACAACTGCTTTCTACACATTACCACCTGAATGTCCAGTAGTAACTCTAGGGTACATTTCTAAAATAAGATTCTTGATGATATATTTAAAATTACTCCTCCCACCTTCAATAATGACAGTTCTGTCTTTCTGGGTATTCAGGTAACAACTACTTGCCCCCATGATCTGGCACTCCCTCTACTCCCCTCACCACCCATCTAGCCTTCTCTCTTTCCGTTCTCTCTCTTGCGCACTTACCTCCAATCTCGCTTGCTTCCTTGCTAGTTCTTAAACATGCCAACCACCTTCCTGGTTCAGGGGCTTTGAAGTTTCTCTTCTCTACCAGGAGTAGCCCTCTCTCTGATATCTAAATGGCTTGCTGTCAGGACTCCGCCCAAATGTCTCAGTAGAAACACTCTCTGCTGACTCTCAGTAAGACAGCAGCCCATCAAACTCTTTAACCCTCTTTATCCTTCACTCTGGTTAGTTTTCATTTGGCACTTACCACCTTCTGACATGTATTTAGTAATTTAATTTTCTCTCCCCAGTCCCAACTCCTTGAATTGTGAGTTACACGAGGGCAGGAATATTATTTTATCTACTGCTCTATCCCAAGCATTTAGCGTATTCCTGGCAGGAGATAAGTTAAAAGAATAAATGAAAATCTGAATGTTGTCCCATTGCACAGGAACCAGTGGCTGGGACAAGCTATGGAAAAAGTATGGATCCCGCTTACCCCGAGACGACCTCTGCCAGTATGTCACATCATCTGACCTCACTCAAATGCTGGACAACCTGGGGATTAAGTATGAGTGTTATGACCTTCTGTCTACCATGGACATATCTGATTGCTTTATTGATGGGAATGAAAATGGAGACCTACTTTGGGATTTTTTGACAGAAACCTGCAACTTTAGCACAACAGCACCACCTGACCTCAAGGCACAAATTATGATAGATCTGCAACAGCCTGAATTTAGTGTTAAGAAAGAGGGAAAGATTCTTTTTAATAATAGCCTCAGTTTCATAGTGGTTGAAGCATAACTATCAGCTACAAGTATATTCAAAAGTTGTATTTTGACAAATGTTGGTCATTCATTTATTTCCATATTAAAATTACAAATACATTTTATAACATAGATGAAATGTAGTCTTTTATATACGAAATCTAGAAAATTCTAAGACATTTCTGGACTTCCATGTTCACTAATATGGGATAATAATTCTGTCTGTTCTTTCAAGCTGAGAGATCTCTATACAGTGTAAACATCATATAAGTTAGAAAAATGAGACAATTGGGTTTCATTGACTTATGACAATAAAATCCTCTGCATTTGTTGATTGCGTTGGAATTTTGTAAACTGCTAATAAAATTTATGCTATACATTTTTTGAATACTAGTGAAATAGATATTTACTGGTGATTTAAAAGCAAAGTATATTTATTTCCCTTTTTTGTGAAAAAGTATGTTTCTTTTTTTTTTTTAAAGGTTTTTGCCATGGGCACCTATGCTTGCCACAGAAGAGACAGACAGAGAGACGGTGAGAAGAAATGTTAGAAATCACCCCCACCCGAGGGGGGATGGCCATGCCACAACACCGTCTCCTCCATTCTCCTCCTAGGACCTTGAACATGCATGCACACACTCCCAGTGTGAGTTTCAAGTTGCTGGGTCTGGGTCCCGAGCCATAGTCAGCCATGTGTGGGTCCAGTGCATTAACCACTACACCACCTACTGGGGCAGGAAGTGATTGTCTTTATATAGCCTTCTATTATAGTTTCTACCTGTTGTATATATGTGTGCCATAGGGCATGTGTACTTACAGAGAGAGAGAGGGAAAGTGAAAAATAATCCCTTTATGGGGAGATGGCCATGCTGTAGTCCCTTCTCCTCCATTTTCTTCTCAGGATTTTGGGCACATATGCACATGTGCTGATCATAATTTTCAAGCTGCCAGGTTCAGGGCTCAAACCATGATTGGCCATGTAGGAGTCTAGCACCTCAGCAGCTATGCCACCTGCTAGCTTTATTGATTAGTAAAAGTAAACACTTGTAGAATACTGTAAAATCAACTGCTCCTGCTCCCTGCTCTGCAGCACTGCTTCAGGGATAATGGCAGTGAAGGGATGTGGGAGGAGCTGGTCTAGGATATACCTAGGGCAATTGGAAGGCAGTGGGAGGTCTGAGGCTGTCCCCTGCCTCAGATGATCTCAGTGACTGCCGCTGCTCCCTCCTCTGCAATGCAGAATAACATGTGGTCATGTGTTATCATTTCTTCGTATTTTGCCTTATGATTTTAACTGATTTAATAGCATTTTGTCTTCTGATATACTGAAGTTTTTCTATTTATTCAGCTCAATTGACTATCTTTCCCTTTTTATTTAGTTATTTTTTAGGCTTTTGCCATAGGGCACAAACCCTTACCAAAGACAGAGTGAAAAAGGGAAAGTGAGAAATCACCCTCTACTGGGGAATGGCCACACCACTATCCCTTCTCCATTCTCTTCTCGGGATTTTAGATATATTCAACACACACACACACACACACACACACACACACACACACACAGTATGATTTTGAAGCTACCAGGTCCTGGACTCAAGTCATGGTCCGTCACTTGGGAATACAGCACCTTAGTCACCAGGTCCCCTGCTGGCTCCTCTTTTACAGTTTTTAAAAAAATATTTTATTTATTTTAATTTCTGTGCCTCTTTTTTAACTTCTGAAACATTCTAAAAGACTATCTAAATCCAAGGTTTTAAAATAACGTTTTATAATAATTTTTAGTTTCCTTTTTATTATTTTATTTTATACATTCAAGCACTGTACATCATTACAGCTTGTAAAATAAATTACCCAACATGAATACACTTCATACCAGTACAGGTGAAGATTCCATGCACATTATCAACAGATAATCCTCCACTTCTGTATCCCTTAAATACCTTCCCTCTCTTTTTCTCCTCGATTCCTGTCCTCTCACTCTCCCTCATCTTCCATCATCTTCCCTCGCAGTCTCTAGTTTCCATAACAATCTTCCCTACTTCTATATTCTCTAATCGTTCAGTTTCTGCCATAGAGTGTGAAAAGTTGGTATATTAAAAAATAAAATTTTAATATGTTTGAAATGTAAGTAAAAAGAGGGAGACTCAAAACAAGCTATTTTCCCTGAACAGAATAGCCAGCTGTACAGTCAAAATTTACTAGAAAGCTAAAAACCTAACAAATTTGAAATGTACCTTTTATCATTGAGCAAATTTCCAGAAAACTCTGAACACATTTTGATACTTTACAGTCTCTTTTGTTCACTAAGATCACAAGTCATTTTTGCGCAGTAGATTCCAGGATATTTTTACTTATTTATTTCATAATTATTTATTTTACTTATTTTATTATTATTTATTAAGTTTGCTATAGGGCACATGAGCTCACAAGACACAGACACACACACACACACACAAAGAGAGAGAGAGAGAGAGGAGAAAGAAAGTGGAGAGAGAAAGCCACTAGGTCCAGGACTTGAACCATGGTTAGTCACGTAGGAGTCCAACGCCTTAAATATGATGCTGCCTGCCGGCCCCTTCAGAGGATTTTTTAAATCTCATTTGATACTCCTTTCTTTTAAGTAATAAGTCTCTGTCATTCTTATAAAACAGTATATAAGTATATACTTAAGTAATTTAATAACAAATCATTTTAAAAGTAAACAATTACTTCCTATCAGAAACAGAACAAAAGTAAGGCTTTATCAAACACTTCATGAACCCTCATTCTCTGAGGAAACCTTTAACCCAGAGTGATAGTCCCTCTTCCACATCACAGGACTAGCACGCAAAGCTACAGTGCAATCACTTAGAAGTTAGTACCCTGTCCCCCCTTCATCCTTTAGCTCATCACCAGGGAATACTCTAGCATAGAAAATCTATTTACACTAATAAATTACTAAGCTTTGTGGTTTATAATATGTAAAATCAGCTTGCATTGCTCTCTTTCCTTAGACAACTTCATCAATGGTTTTTGAATTATAAGTTACAGCAAATGAAACGACAGTTATCCAATCAGATTGCTGAATATGAGCACTGAGCCATTCATCATGCTGACTTGTACTACTGACAAAGGAAATCTGTGAGACACACATGACTGATGGATCTGGGGCTGTGATGACCTTGAACATCACCACCAGAAGGATGGAAATGAAGACTCTGCAGAGCAAATTATGGCCTTTTATAGAAAGCACATGTACCAAAACAAAAATAGAACATTCTATGTAAAGACAGAAAAGAATAGCCAGCCATAGATGGGTACTTGAAAATACAGCCTTTTCATCCCTATAAAGCCTTACTACAAGACCAGCCAGTGGCATGGTTATTAAGGAGCTGGATCTCATGACCAGCGATGTGATTTGAATTGCAGACCTGGTGGAATAAAAAGCATTCTGAACACATGTGCTTGAGTGCCCAAAATCCTAAAAAGAGGGGAAAAATGGAAGAGAAGGAACTGCAGTATGACCAAGCCATGGAGGGGCAAGTTCTCAAATTCTCTCTCTCTCTCTCTGGTGAATACACACACCCTGTGGCAAAATTTATTTTCTGTTTAAAACAAAACAAAACAAAAAGTTTATTTTCTGTTTAAAACAAAACAAAACCAAAAAAACCTTACTATAAAATAAAATTAATTATTTGTTTAAAACAAACAAAAACCCCTTACTATAAAATGTGAGGGGTCTTTAAAAACTCTGTGGAGAGTGCATGGTATTAAAAAAAACTGCATGATTTAAAAAAGAATTTGCACCAAAATAAAACTGACTGCAATTCCATTTTCCACAACTTTTTAAAATCCCCTTCTATAAGAATAAGTTTTTAAAATAGTATTTTATTAAGCAGTTTTTATTATTGCCAGAGGCATGTATGGTTGCCAGAGTGAGAGACAGGGAGGGGAGAAGAGAAAGTACCCTCCAAAGAAGCGTAGTCACACCACAATTCTGTCTCCTTCATTTCTGTGTTCTGTCAGGATCTTGAATAATTGAACATGCATGCATATATGCCCAACATTTTCTTTCTTTTCTTCTTTCCTTCTTCTTTTTTGTTGGAGAGATTTTTGTTGAAGGGCATGTACACTCACTGGAGAGACAAGAGAGACAGAAAGTGAGAAATCACCCCCCAAGGAGGATAGCTACACTGCAATCCCTTCTCCATTGTCCTTTCAGGATCTTGGGCGGGCACGCACATGCGCCTGGTGTGAGGTTTATGCTGCCAGGTCTGGGACTCAAACAGCCGTCAAATATGTGGGAGTCCAGCAACATAACTATTATACTCTCTGCTGGTCCCCACGTTCAACATTTTCAACCACAGATCCAACTTCCTTAACTGCTAGTTCATGGATCCTGTCCAAATTCTTACCTACTTCAATTCAGTGTAATATGAGCACAAAAGTCTTTTTAAAGAGATCACTGGGGGGACCAGCAGTTAGCGTAATGGCTATGTCGCTGAACTCCCATGTAGTTGACCGTGGTTCGAGTCCCGGACCCCGTGGCTTAAACTCACGCTGGGTGCATGTGCGTGTGTGCCCAAGATCCCTAGAGGAAAATGGAGGAGAAGGGATTGCGGCGTGGCCATCCCCCCTGGGGGGTGATTTCTCACTTTCTGTCTCTCTGTCTGTCTCTGTCTGTCTGATGAGTGCATGCACCCTATACCAAAAAAAAAAAAGAGATCACCAGGGATACCTATGAGTTAGTGATAAGGAGCTACATAAGTTCAAGGGATAGTACCATTGCATTGACTTCTTCCAGTACTGCACAGTATCACAAAGGATTTGGGACAGTCACATGTTGACTTTTCAAGCTTGCTCTTATAGAGTTCAGGGAAAAAAAGGGCACAGCATGAATTTAAAATGCTGTTTTTTTACATCTTTGTGCATCTCTCAGTGTTTAGCATGGTTCCTTGTATATATACTCGTGATGCTGAGTTAAGGCTGGTGAATGAATTCTTTCCCTCTCAAGCATTTGTCTTACACATTACATGTTTATATTATTACTGTAAACATAGCTCAGGAAAACTAACAGAATTCTGTGTTGTCTTTAGAATAGTGTAAATGGATAAAAATAGCCTGTTAGAGATATAGAGTCAGACAAGCCAGGTTCAAATAATGGCTAATTACTCAGTAACCGTAGGCAGCTCATTTTCTCTATTCGTACATTTCTTCATGTGCAAAGAGACCCAGAGTATCAACCTAAGAGAATGGTCATGAGGATTTTCGTAATTAAACTACATAAATATGCTCCTAGGGTGTCAGACTGACAGAGACTACTCAAAAATAATAATATGAAAAATATTAGTT